AATAGAAAAAGAGGGAGAACTTCCAAATTCATTCTACGAGGCCAACATCACCCTGATACCTAAACCAGACAAAGACACTTCAAAGAAAGAAAACTACAGACCAATATCTCTAATGAACCTAGATGCAAAAATCCTCAATAAAATTCTGGCCACTCGGATACAAAAACTTATCAAAAAAATTGTGCACCATGATCAAGTAGGATTCATCCCTGGGATGCAAGGCTGGTTCAATATACGGAAATCAATAAATGTTATTCACCACATCAATAGACTTAAAAATAAGAACCATATGATCATCTCGATAGATGCGGAAAAAGCATTCGACAAAGTACAGCATCCCTTTATGTTCAAAACTCTAGAAAAACTAGGGATAACAGGAACATACCTCAATATTGTAAAAGCAATCTATGCTAAGCCTCAGGCTAGCATCATTCTGAATGGAGAAAAACTGAAGGCATTCCCTCTAAAATCTGGAACAAGACAGGGATGCCCTCTCTCTCCACTTCTGTTCAACATAGTTCTCGAAACACTGGCCAGAGCAATTAGACAGACGAAAGAAATTAAAGGCATCAAAATAGGAAAAGAAGAACTGAAATTATCACTATTTGCAGATGACAAGATTCTATACCTAGCAGACCCAAAAGGGTCTACAAAGAAACTATTAGAGCTAATAAATGAATTCAGCAAAGTGGCAGGATATAAAATCAACACGCATAAATCAAAGGCATTCCTGTATATCAGCGACAAATCCTCTGAAATGGAAATGAGGACAACCACTCCATTCACAATACCTTAAAAAAAAATAAAATACTTGGGAATCAACCTAACAAAAGAGGTGAAAGACTTATACAATGAAAACTACAGAACCCTAAAGAGAGAAATAGAAGAAGATCTTAGAAGACGGAAAAATACACCCTGTTCATGGATAGGCAGAACCAACATCATCAAAATGGCGATATTACCAAAAGTTCTCTATAGGTTTAATGCAATGCCAATCAAAATCCCAACGGCATTTCTTGTAGAAATAGAGAAAGCAATCATGAAATTCATATGGAAAAATAAAACACCCAGAATAGCAAAAACAATGCTAAGCAGGAAGTATGAATCAGGCGGTATAGCGATACCTGACTTCAAACTATACTACAGAGCAATAGTAACAAAAACAGCATGGTACTGGTACCAAAACAGGCGGGTGGACCAATGGTACAGAATAGAGGACACAGAAACCAATCCACAAAACTACAACTACCTTATATTTGATAAAGGGGCTAAAAGCATGCAATGGAGGAAGGATGGCATCTTCAACAAATGGTGCTGGGAAAACTGGAAATCCATATGCAACAAAATGAAACTGAATCCCTTTCTCTCGCCATGCACAAAAGTGAATTCAAAATGGATCAAGGAGCTTGATATCAAATCAGAGACGCGCCGTCTGATAGAAGAAAAAGTTGGCTACGATCTACAGTCGGTGGGGTCGGGCTCCAAATTCCTCAATAGGACACCCATAGCACAAAAGTTAATAACTAGAATCAACAAATGGGACTTACTCAAACTAAAAAGTTTTTTCTCAGCAAAAGAAACAATAAGAGAGGTAAATAGGGAGCCTACACCCTGGGAACAAATCTTTACTCCTCACACTTCAGATAGAGCCCTAATATCCAGAGTATACAAAGAACTCAAAAAATTAGACAATAAGAGAACAAACAACCCAATCAACAAATGGGCCAAGGACCTGAACAGACACTTCTCATAGGAGGACATACAGTCAATCAACAAGTACATGAAAAAATGCTCACCATCTCTAGCTGTCAGAGAAATGCAAATCAAAACCACCCTAAGATACCATCTCACTCCAGTAAGATTGGCAGCCATTATGAAGTCAAACAACAACAAGTGCTGGCGAGGATGTGGGGAAAAGGGTACACTTGTACATTGCTGGTGGGACTGCAGATTGGTGCAGCCAATTTGGAAAGCAGTATGGAGATTTCTTGGAAAGCTGGGAATGGAGCCACCATTTGACCCAGCTATTCCCCTTCTCGGTCTATTCCCTAAAGACCTAAAAAGAGCATGCTACAGGGACACTGCTACATCGATGTTCATAGCAGCACAGTTCACAATAGCAAGACTGTGGAACCAACCTAGATGCCCTTCAATAGATGAATGGATAAAAAAAATGTGGCATTTATACACAATGGAGTATTACTCTGCATTAAAAAATGAAAAAATCATAGAATTTACAGGGAAATGGATGGCATTAGAGCAGATTATGCTAAGTGAAGCTAGCCAATCCCTAAAAAACAAATGTCAAATGTCTTCTTTGATATAAGGAGAGTAACTAAGAACAGAGTAGGGACGAAGAACAGGAGAAGAAGATTAACATTTAACAGGGATGAGAGGTGGGAGGGAAAGGGAGAGAGAAGGGAAATTGCATGGTAATGGAAGGAGACCCTCAGGGTTATACAGTGGAGGGGGTAGAGAGAGAGGAGGGGAGGGGAGGGGAGAGGTGGGGAGGGGGGAGGTTGGAGGATGGGAAAGGCAGCGGAGCACAACAGACACTAGTATGGCAATTTGTAAATCAATGGATGTGTAACTGATGTGATTCTGCAATCTGTGTATGGGGTGAAGGTGGGAGTTCATAACCCACTTGAATCAAAGTATGGAATATTATATGTCAAGAAATTTGTAATGTTTTGAACAGCCAACAATAAAAAATTAAAAAAAAAAAACAAAATATGTACTTATATGATGGAATATTATGTAGCGCTGAAAAATAAATGAACTATAAGAACAGGCATTAAAGGAGTAATTTCTCAATTAAGTTAAAAAAACAAGTCATAGAAGCATAACTACATTAAGAAAACATTTGTACAAATTCAGAAACATGTGAATATAACAATGTATTATTTAGAAATGCATATGTAGGTTGTAAATTATAAAGAAAAGAAAATCAAGAGAACGATGTGGCCAGCAGACTAAAAGTGCCCCCCCACACACACAATTCTTGCTTCCTGGTGTTAATACCTTTGTGTAATCTCCTCCCCAAGTGTGAGTGGGATTTGTGAGACTTGCCTTTAACTAATGGAACGTTCCAAAGGAGACAGGACACCACTCCATGCTATGTAACATCATACAAGACTGTCTTGCTAGTAGACTCATTCCAGAGGCTCAATGACTTGTTCAAATAAGCCTCCAAGTTGGAAAAGTCTCTAAGGCAAGAAGCTGAAAGTGGCTTCTGGGTGGTCAATAGTTAGTAAATACCCCAAGGCCTTCATTGCCTGCAGGTGTAGATATGAGTTTTGCCAACATTCTATGGGTTCCAGGAAACAGATCCTTCCCCAGTCAATCCTATAGGTGAACACCCTGACTACAGATTTTTGGGATAAATAAAAAAGGATGGGGATGTTGCTCAGTGGTTAAGCACCTCTGGGTTCAAAGAAGAGACAGCTGAGCCATGCCTAGACTCCTATCATGAAGTCTGAGATATTAAAATGTGTAGAGTAGCAAGCTGCTAAATTTGTTGTAATCTATAATATGCAGCAGCAAACAAACAGTACTAAAATTCTGAGGAGCACTTACTTCTGGGCTAGATCTGACATATTTTACTTGTTTTTCTTTCTTTTAGTTTTAAATATTTATTTTTTAGTTGTAGTTGGACACAATACCTTTATTTATTTATTTTTATTTGGTGCTGAGGATCAAACTCAGGGCCTCGAAAATGCTAGGCAAGCGCTCTACTACTAAGCCACAACCCCAGTGCTGTTTTTCTTTTTTAAGGTAGACTGGAATTAGGTTTTATGTGGCTTTGTTTATAAATAAGGAGCCATTGTGCTATGAATTCATTTTATCATTCCTACTTGAGTCATTTGATATACAAGGAGCTGATTTCAACCTCTAGCCACACAAGAGCAGAGACACGCCATGCACAGAAAGTAAACTGGTGTGCTCATGAAATCTTTAGTGTCCAATAAATCAGTATTTCACTTAATACTTCTTACTTAACTGGACAATTTAGAGAGTAAAGAAAGAAATTGTCAGATGGTGACCCCTATTGATAAACAACAAATGATCAATTACATCCAAGCCAAGATGTTACGATAATCATAAATAGGTTTTCTACATGTTATTACACCACTTCAAAATAAAATATAACCCTTTAGATACCAAGTGATGTACTCCATTTGCAGCCCAGCCAAGAATGTTTAACCTCCACACCACATTGTGATCTCTTAAGGACTAAACTGCTAAAACTGATAGAGTAAGGATTTAAGGCAGGAAAAACTAAGGGCAGAGACTTTTCTTCCACAGCTCCCTTCCACTCTGGCTTTCACCTTTCCTGGTTTACCTACAGACAGTCTGCTTCCTGCACAGAGAGAAGCTCATGATTTCTGTTTCTGATATTTTATGTTATTAACTGACAGACAAGCTGCTTCTTGCTGATCCTGATCCTGACTGGCTACCTGTTCTTTCAGTATCTTAGTCATCTTAGACTTTTATTGCTCCATTATAATGTATGTATCTTAATTTCAAAAATGTTCTGAAACAGTTCTAGTCTGTGGTCTCTTTCACTCTCTGGTTAAGGCATTTTTAGATGCCAGCTGTCTAACAGCTTACAGATACTCATATTGGATTTCTGGGACCCACCTACTATTACCTGCTCACTCTCCATACCTTTGAACTAAGTCAACCTGTTTTTAGGGTCTCCACATTTCTTGAAGCTCAGCTCTTGACTCCAGCATGACATCTACTCTTACCCCTTCAGTCCCTAGCCACAAGATGATATTTGCCTTGAAAAGAAGAGCTTTATAATTCAATAAAGCCCGGAAATTGGATCACATACTGGTGTGGTTTCCTGAATGTTAAGTGAGACATAAATAACAGATGTTACCAACGCAACAGAAGAAGAGATACAGAATTTACTCAGGTATGCCTTTCTTTTAAGGTATCCAAAGAGGTATCAGACCCTTGAAATAATATACTAATATTTTATTTCCAATTCTTACCCTTTGCAAAAACTCAATAGGACTGTACTTGGGCCCCAAGACAAAAATTTTCTCTCCTCTTCGAGCTACACCGCTGAATACACGAGCAAATGCAATAAAAGACTCTTGGTTGCTTCCTTCCTGGGGCACAGGATTAGTGGCCATACTCTCCACCTGTTGCTCATCACCTGCCAGGAACAAAGGATAATAAGTGCCAAGAATACTCTCTTTAATCCAAGATCTGCCTGAAACAAAGGAAACAGTTAATATATTTGGTCCAGTTTCAGGAGATAAACATTAAGAATGAAAAGAATATTGATAAAAACTATAATTAAAGCTAAAATCTCAGTACTAAAGAATGAGCATCCTATGTTAAGCAAAACATCAAATACTTAACACTAAAGCCTATTTAGGTAAGCTATACCTCTTGGCTCTTCTCTTTGTGGGCTTGTTTCCAGTGCACTCGCATCTTGGGTGGGCTCCAAAGGTGCCTGCCCTTGTGCTGCAGCGAGCTTCTCTGCATGCCTCTGTCTTGCACGTTCACGTCTTTGAGCAATTTCTTCTTGAGTGAGAGGCCTACAGGACATCACAAATAGGTTATCATCTGGCAACATCAAGCACCTCTTGGTTCATTCAAGAAGGAAAACAGCAAGTACAGACAGGGCTAAATAAGATGATTAGTCTCAAGTGCCTTTCAGGCTAAAGACCTCTCCGAGTTCTCCCATAGCTCGAGCAACAGGAAGAGAGTGCCCACCAGGCTCTCCAACAATGCTGCATCTCCAGCTAATATGAGCTTATGAATTGGCAGGCAAAAGTCCAAGTCCACAAGTGGAGCTAAGCACAGCAACATGGATCCTTTCTCAGATATCAGTATTCCTTCTGGAAGAGGAAAGGAAAGAGAGAAGGAAGGGAACAAGTAAAAGATACCCAGACTTGGAATGCCCCAAAGAGAAACATGCTCAAGGCCTCAGTAAGAAATTGAGGTTTTCTTCCTAAGTACAAACATGTATCTTCATATAGAACTGGAGTTCACAAAGAAGGGTTCCAGGCCAGGCTGCATACTGGCAATTCAGCAGAACTAACAGGTCAAATTCAAATGCTTAGACATTATGTTAGATCCAAGAGATCCAAAACAGAAAAGGCAATGTGCAGGTGTAGATATGTCTTTTGTTGGGGGTTAGTCTGAAAGGTGTTGTTAATTAAGCTATTTTCTCCAAAAAGAATTATTCTCATGCCTATTAGGACTTAGACAAGGTGCTTAGAGCTTTAATACCAAAATGTTTTTGCAAAAGGTAAATTTGAAGTTGAATAAAAATGGTCATTCTGTTTGGTAGGTGGTTGTTCCCCAGGATGTGGTTCCCTTTATGTAGGGGTCCTCATGAATCACCTACATGCTCACCCCCAACATAAGAGCAAAGCCAATTCTGCCCGAAAGTTGGTAAAATCTGAACCTCTTTCCCACTCTTCTTGGGAATGAGCATTGAGATAGCAAGCTAATCTTCTGGTCTCAACTTGAAATCCACCTCTAAAAGCTGCTCTATTCTGCCTAGTCCCAACACTTTGTGCCTCTTTTCTACATTGTCCCTTACCTTTGACATTATGATTCCAGCTTTACTTCCTGATCTCTGAATTAACACTAGACTGATAGTCTCATCTCTCCCCTTGACATGCCACCTTCCCCTCCTCTCTCCTTAAGCACTGTGAAACCACAGGACAGGCATTCAGCATGGGTACTTCCCATCTGTCTTCTAACTGGCCACATACTCTTGGAGCTTTTTGTCAAATGCCCTAAGACCTCTTCCACCTTTTTACTTCACATGGGGTAAGTAGGAATGACTGCTTAAATCACTGATGGTCTCCCTCTATCCTCTTCAGATACCTGCAGTTAGGCAGGACTTCCCAGTAGACCTAGACTCTAGTTCTGCCTTTCTTACTAGCTGTCTCTCAGAATGGAAGAGTTTAATTCTAGGAGTTGGCCCTTCTTGTCAGACCCATTCCATTACAGGGCTGTGCAACAGGATACAAACATGAGAGACTAATCCATGAGATTTGCCCAGTTGAGATGTTGTACTCAGGCAACCAGAACTGCTGGCACTGGAAAGACTGGCTATCAACACAGGAGAAATGCCCCTCTTCATGGGAAGCTCTCAATGTTAGAAGGTCTTTCAAATACAGGATGCATTTTGCTTCCTCAAAATTGCTAGGCATGGATGCTGTTCTGTCCTCTGGAGCAGTTCTCTTTCCCCTTTCCTTGGAATCATCTCGCTCAATTCCTTCCCCTCACCCTTCTCTTCCTCTGGTTAACCCCTTCAGCTATTCCTTCAACCAGGCCGCAGACAACTATCCATATTTCTAAATTTTTGCTAAATACTCTTAAAAATATCTGGGAAGTGTGAATTAAAACATCCACACATAACATAGTATCATTATTACTAGCATCAGGAGGAAGAGACACCTGAGGCACTTGCTTGCCCTCAGAAGTTTCTTCTAATAGGCTTAACACGAGTCCAGACATTGTGCTAATCACTTCACATGGGTTACAGCATACAAATATCTCAACAATTAAATGAAATACACTTTCCATTCCCTTTTACATTAAGAGAAAATGGAGAATTAGAAAATTTAAGCAATAGGAGCCAAAGTCAGATATTAAGTGGAGAGGTCTGGATTCTAATCTAGATCTGCTTGTCTCCAAGCCCTATGCCCATTATCATCAACCTCTGTCTTCCATTTAGAAGGAATTAAGATGATAAAAAAAAAAAAAAATCACCATTTTAATTAAGTGCAATTTTAACTCTGGTTCATAAAGAAGCATAATTTTCACCTCATATATTAAATTTTTATCTACCTAATCTCATGACACGATCTGGAATTAATAGGCACTTATGGTCATTAGTTAGCATTAACTGCATAGGTACTTGCTATCTTCCTACGTGTTTATCCATCCATCCAGTTAAAACCTCCCATGTGCCATGCACTATGTATGTACTAGCAGCAGTGGTAGAGGGGAGCAAGCAAACAGACAGAAGTCAATAAGGATTTATAAAAAGTGTCCTCTGTACATCTAGTATTTGTTAAAACAAAGAGGAACTTATTTCTAAGAAAACAGGGCTCTACCGATAAGGAAATAGCTGCAAGTGGTGGGTTATTTGGGCGGGTTATTTGGGTGGGTTTAAGGAACTAGAAATGAAGGATACCAAAGGTGAGAATGTTGACTGGAAATTCAAATGTTAGGTTGGGAGGTGAATATGGAGGTGAAAGGAAAAGAAGGAAGAACACAAAACTATTCAACTTCAGAATTTCCTAACAGTGGTCATGCTCTGGCCTCTATGGCACTGATAAACAGGACAATGTCAGAGAAAGAGTTGGTAGAGGGGTTGGTAGAACTCAATACCAAAAGTCACCATCTTACCAGGTAGCTGACATGTTGGGGATCAGGTGACAAAAAAGAAAAGTGACATCTGTTTGAAGATGGTATAAAGGGACAGATAGGTGAGGATGGTGGGATTACAAGGTTAAGAGAATAATTCTCTAAAATGAGTCCCTGCCTGCCACAGGCTTTCTTTGCCAAAAGCAATCTGCCTGCAGCCCTGCCTGTCCTCAGCAAACTGAGGCAGGGGGCTAAGGTCTGGCAGTCAATATAGTTAATGATAATAGGAGGTAGAAAGAACAGGGCTGGTTATCAAAAAAAAAAAAAAAAAAAAGATAATGCCTTGCTAACAGCTAACCTCTGGGATGCACAACCCACCTATACCCACCCACACACACACACACACACACACCGACTTTGAGTTGCTAATGATTACCCCCAAAGCTCCTGTTCCTTCCTGCAAAGAGAAGGTGGAGAGTTCTGGGGTCTATAAAAGAGCAAGACACATCCATTCTATGGCTCTGGGCCCTCTTCAAAAGTCAGCTGTCCCTGTCTCTTTCTTGATAAAACTTGCTTTCCTTGTAATCCCAGCAGCTCCGGAGGCTGAGGCAGGAGGATCTGGAGTTCAAAGCCAGCCTCAGCAAAAGTGAGGTGCTAAGCAACTCAGTGAGACCCTGTATCTAAATAAAATGCAAAACAGGGCAGGGGAAGTGGCTCCATGGCCAAGTACCCATGAGTTCAATCGCCAGTACACCACCTCCCACCAAAAAACAAAACCAACAACAACAACAACAAAACTTTCTTTCTACACTTGCCTCAGCATTTCTCAGGTGTTTAACATTCAACACCAGGGGAACAAGGACCAGTTCCTGATCTCCAAGAACAGTATCAATGGCACCTTGTTACTAGAAGTTGATCCCCAAAAAGAAAGAAAAAGTAACACATAGACTCAGGATGACAGGGGAATAGGGACTACCTGGAAAACTCCCAACCAGAATGTCACTTAATAGGTACTTATCACCATATGAGAATTCTGTAAGAATTTCATTTAAACTACACTTCAGAATAGCAAAAGCAGACTTAGGGGTGGAAAACTGAAAAGCCATAGATATGATTGGGGGCAGATTCTCCACAGTAAAGTGAATGACCACAGGCCTTAAAGCTAAATACATCTAGATTCAAATACATCTTTAGCCTCCTTGCAGCTATGTGACCTGGAGCACATTACCCATTTTTCTTAAGGTTCCTTAATTTCCTCACAAGTCAAACTGAAACACCAAATTCTTCTTCCATTGAAGAATTGTTAGATGTAAATACCATAATTAATGGCATCATGGGAATACTATCATGCTTTCATAAGCTGCAGCCAATTATTAGTGTTATTATCACCACTAGTTACAAGATTGGGGGGTGGGTAAGACTTGGGATGCTGCTGAGTGCTAGGATCTTCTCAAGAAGTGATATTTACAATCTTTCATGTTTTTCCATTACTTGAATCATTCCCACACAACCCCAGGGTAGATGTGGACATACAGAAGAGGCACTTCCTAGAACCACATAAATAAGTGTCTTCATTTCAGAGACCAAAATCCTGCCTATAAATTATATGAATCAATAGTAAAACACTGCTTTATCAGGGGCAGGTTCTGTTTCCAGCAATGCCTGACCTCCGGCTTCTGCCCAGTGTTCCCACTGAAAACAACTAGGCAAGATGAATAAATTAACAGAAAAAAAAAAATGAAGAGGACTGACAGTATCAAAGAGTGAACAAAGCACTGAGGATTTCAGGATTTCAAAAGAGGAAGCAAAGACTAAAGAGCTCCCTCCTTGCTGCTGCTTTTCTGCTGAGAGGAATTTGGCACATCTGAAGAAAAAAGAATCTGAAGAGAAATACTGAAGGCTTTCTTTGAAAGACTGGAAAGGACAGAAGAATTCCTGCTATCACCACTTCTAAATGATGCACTGGAGGTCCCAGCCAGTGAAAAAAGAAAGAGGAAACAAAACTGTCATCACTTGTGGTTAAAATGATTACATGTGGAAAAATTCAAAGAATGTAAATAAAATATAGGAATAAATGAATAAGAGAATAACTGAATATAAGATCAATATACAGAAATCATCTATAATCCTAAATATTAAAAAAAGACCAATAGAAAATGAAAGTTCACAAAAAGAAAATACATTTTTAATTATATTAAAAACCATCTAACCAGGTATACTGGTGCACGCCCAAATCCCAGCAACTCAGGAAGCTAAGACAGGAGGATCACAAGCCCAAGGCCAGCCTCTGCAATTTAGTAAAACTTGTCTCAAAATAAAAAATAAAAAGGACCAGGGATGCAGGTCAGTGGTGAGAGTGCCCCAGGGTTCATACCCAGCAGCCCCCCAAAAATCTAGTATCTAATAATACTTATAGATATGATACTAGCTAAAAATCTATAAAGTAATTAAAGAAGATCTATATAAATGGAGAATACACCTCATCCACAGGCTGAAATTTTCAGTGGTAAAAATATATCAATTTTTTAGAGGTCTAATTAATAGCAATCCTTTTCAAAATCCCAACATGGGCACATGAGATTGACAAGTGATCCCCAAATTTACCTAGAAATGCTAAAAGCCAAGAATAACCAATGATCATGAGGATACAGTAATTAACATAATAGCTATTAAAGAAAGTAAGCAAGTAACTAGTAACTAAATTAAGAAGACGAAACTATAATAATTAAAATAGTGTGGTCTTGGCTTCAGAGACAGACCAGTAGAACAGAAGAGAAAAATCTTAAAACAATCCCACCCATATATAGATACTTACAAAAGTGGCACAGGTAAGCAGTGAGTGAAGGACAGTCTTCCATCAAATCAGGGACATCAAATTGGGGAAAAATCTTTAAATCTTTGTAGGTACCCCATCACCCTATCTCTTGCTTCACTTTCAGTGCATTTCACCACTGAACATATTCTAATCTACACTAAAGGAAAATAATATTCTGCTGCCCCTGACTTAGTATATATAATTTAATAGAAATGGAAATGGTATATGTCCCCACATTTTAAAAGTAGTAATATTACATGAAAAAAAAGAACCTAGAAGAAAGAACAAATCAAAGTAATGATGATGACCTTACTCAGTTATGTTACTGTATTATTATACAAAACAATTATTAAAAATGGTGTTGGTTAAGTAATAGATGAAAAAAATAAAATCAGTGAAACAACCTTATAGAACATAATTAACAGTGCCAGCAAAAATATCCTAAAATCTGGAAAACAAGAGTTTTGAAGAAAACTATTCACAGAAAATGTAATTACTAGTAGGAGCAAAATAGTACTATTATTCTTCAGGAAGAAAATGAAGGGCAAGTACACATAGGAATTTTAAGTGATATAAATACATGTATTTAAGTCTCAAGAGTACATTTTCTAGTTCTCCAGTATTCCCTAGGAGTAAATTAGAATATCTGAGATACTTCCATGTGGCCAAAAAACCCCTTATCTCCTAGGATATCAAAAAATTTCTGTCGTAGATGGCACTAAAATATAGTATCTCAGAATAGCCTAGATACAAAATTATACATTCACTCATTCATTCAACTATTTACTTATTCATTTAGCAATTCACTTGCTTTCCCATTCACTGACCTACTTGTTTCTTCATTCCGATACTCATTCATTCATTCTTCATTTACTCATTTATCTATTCCTTCACTTATTCTCAGGACAAAAATTACTAAAGCTTCCTCTTTCCAATACTACAGAAGTACTAGAAAATAAACCACCCTTCTTTCTCTTGAAGGATAAGCAGAATTTTACCAAAAGAAAAGGGGTCTTCTAAGATGGAGGTACCACATAAGCAAAGACAGAATTTTTTCAGGGAATAGCATATAATACTAGAGAAACATAAAAATGAAAATCTAGTTATAATGGGTTGGGATCAGGTCGTGATAGGTCAAATTTATTTTACAGCTGGTGATCCTGAAACTTCAGATATTCACTAACTACCTTCATGACTGCTGCTCTATCTACCTATTGTTTACTTCTTATTTCATTTTATTTTATTTTTTAAAGAGAGAGAGAGAGAGAGAGAGAGAGAGAGAGACTTTTAATATTTATTTTTTAATTTTCGGCGGACACAACGTCTTTGTTTGTATGTGGTGCTGAGGATCGAATCCAGGCCACACGCATGCCAGGCGAGCGCGCTACCGCTTAAGCCACATCCTCAGCCCCTTCATTTTATTTAAATGGGTAAGGTTAACATTTACTTCATTAAGATTTACTTCATAAAATCTCAAAATCTCATTTTATAAAAAGAAAAGGTAGAACACTTGATATAAATAAGCAATAAACACAAATACATGTTAAAATACATAAGACACAAATACATACTAAAATACATTATTAAATAAAAACTTGTTTTCCTAAGTGCCACTGAAATCATCACCAATCATATACTTTTAGGCAAACCTACTCAAGGCAATGAGAACACTAACCATTCTTAAGCAGCAGATCTAAATCTTCATGGCTGAGTCTTAGATCTTTCTGAAGTAATTATGACAAATGGGTTGGTAGAACTCAAGACTGGGGCAGAGGAACCTTCTTGGAGAACACTGCCAATAGTTTCCATGAGATATAATTAGGGTCTAACTAGAGGGGCAGGCAAAAGAGATGGGAAGGAGGGGAATACATGCAGAAAACAGATGAGGTAGAAGGGACAGAGTCACCAACTCTAGAAATCCGTCTCCATATCTGCCACCTCTGCACACATACAACATTACAAAAATGATCACACATTTGGTCTCCATCGAGGCAGAAAGAATTAGACAAGACAGGGCAGGCTTAGATTACATCTTCTCTGACATATTCAATAAAAGTTAACTGTGGTCACTATTACTATTACTACCCTACACATACACATCAGATAAAATCAATACCCCAAAGCTGATTCTGACAGCTTTCTCTTACAGAGATACCCCAAAAGTATTCATGACTACACAAACTCTATAATACCCTAGTACTGGCTCAATTTCATTGCTGAGATGGGAAGGAAAGACATTATCTGTGCCTTCCCATTACACCCCAACACCGCCAGATACAAAACTTTTCCCAGCCCATATCCCATTATTCTTACCTTGGCTTATTCTGAGGCAAGGCCTTGGCATCAACTGCAAACATTTTGGAAACAAAGATAATAACTGGAGCAGTGTCCTCACTTCCACATTTCATAAAAGCTAAACAAACAGGAAGCAAAAATGTCACTATTTTTCCCATTATTTAAAAAAAAAAAAAGATTTTTCCAGAAAGCAGATTTTAAAATATAGCTTCATCTAAATACGTAACTTTTAACAACTATGGTAACTATTCTTTTTAGAAAGACTGCTAGGAAAGGATAGTAGAGAAAGAGCAACAGAATTGGTAGAGATGAAGAAACAGAAGCAAAACTGACAAAGTGGAAGTCAGGGAAGGCTCTCGTATTAGCATTAAAGCTATGGAGTCAGGTTGAAGACCACTGTAAGCCACAACTAATGTTTCCCTGTTGTCAGTAAAGAAGGGAAAGAATTAAGAAATATTACCAAAGGTCAAGAGTCAATAAGATGGTTTGTTAAAATAAATAAAAATGAATAGCTTTTCTAGTCCCTCACAATAACAAGTTAAAAAATAAAACAGACAAGAATAATGTATCATGGTAACAAAAACACTTAGAAATAAATTAAGGTTCAATACTATATAGATTCAATTCTTTTTAAATACATTAATGCAAATTTCATATCAACATAGTGACATTTATTTACCTATATTGAGGCACAAAACCATTAGTAACTAAAAAAAAAAATCATCCCCCTATTAATGTAATTTATACACAAAGAATTCAATAGAAAAAAATCAAACAAAAATTACAGGAAGTAAAAATTAAACACATCTCTTGCTAGCAAAACTTTTGAAAAGATTTTAAGGTACAGAGTGACATGATAACCTACATGTTAATAGGATCACTCTGAGTACAGTAGAGAAAAAACTAAAGGGAATCAAGGGAAGAAGCAGGGATATTACTTAGAATACTAATACAATGACCAAGTGAGAGAGGATAGTTGCTTTGCCCAGACAGATAGAAGTGGGAATAGTGGGAAGTAGTCAGATTCTGGATATATGTCAAAGGAAGAATTGACAGGATTTGCTGATAGACTAGATGCAGAGGTGTGAGATAAAATATGTAAGAGTCACAGATGACTCTAAAGGTTTTTGGACTGAGAAAATGAAACGATGGTGGCACCTCCAACTGAGATGGGAATAAGCAGGAGCAGCAAGTTTGGGGATGAGATAAAAGACAAGTTTGGAATATGTTAAGTTTGAGATGCTTTGTATAACAGCTGAGTAGAGAGAGGGAGTATGCTAAATGCACATATGAGTCTAGAGTTCAGATAAGAGATGTGCATGTAGATACAGAAGTGGGAAACCATTGTCCCTTATAGCCTTGAGACTGGATGGGATCACCAAGAGAGGGATTACAGATGAAGTAGATGAGGTAATGAGACTGATTCTTGCTTGGGACACTCCACAGTTAGAAAGCCAAGGAAATGGAGAGGAACCAAAAAAAGTGATTAAGATTGAACCAGAGAAGAGATTAAGGGAGACAAGGAAATCAACTAGAAGCATGTGGAAGCTTAGAAGTCGAGGGAAGAAAGAGTTCCAAGGAGGAAGGAGTGATCAACTGTGCTAAAATGTTAGTGACAGATCTAGTCAGATAAAGACTGTGAACTGGACATTAGATTTAACAAAGTGAGCCGGGTCTGTGGTGCATGCCTGTAATTCCAGCTACTAAAGAGGCTAAGGCAGGAGGATAAAAACATTTGAGAACAGATTGAGCAAATAAGTAAGACTCAGATTCAAACTGAAAAAATAAAAAGAGCCAAGGAAGCAGCTCAGTGGTAGAGCACCCCTGGGTTCAAGCCCCAACACACACACACACACAAAAAAAAAGACTTAAAGTATGAATCAATAGTGACCCCAAGAACAGTAGAAGAACACTGTTGGCCTTTGACTTTTTCTTCTCTATGGCTTTATATTTCTGAACACTTTTTTAAGAGGAATGTATTTGATTTTCAATGAGAAAAAAATATGTGAAATCCTGAACTTTACATTTAAATACAAAGCTTCAAGAAAAATACCCATTGAGGCTATATGCCCATAACAGTGCTAAATTACCTCTATTTATAGAGGTGTGGTTTACAGGAACACCCATCTTTCACCATCTATACCGCATGTAGCCTCTGCTGTGACTGGAAATACAGTGTGGTTCACACAGTGATGTCTAGAAGAGACATCTCTGAAGACACACAAATACATAATGCAGATGAAATAGTGGAGTGGTTTAGGGGTCCGCAGTTATAATTCAAAAGAATGGGAAGAAAAGAATTGGAGTCAGTGAATATATACAAATGAATTTCCCTGTACCTACAGAGCCTAGAAAAGGAACTTATCTCATGGGGTGGGTATGTCCAGGGTATCTAATGAAAAGCACAGTCTCTGGACTCATTTTGTGTGTAAAGCTGTGGACACAGCAAACACAGTTATGCCACAGCTTAGGAAACACATTGCAAGGTATTTAAGAAATGGGATCAGGGCAGGAAGAAAGAGGCTCAGAGCCTGGCTGCCCACCAGGGGAGCTAAATGGCTATAGTGCAACTGAAATTTTGGGAGCAGGGAAATAAAACTGGTAAAATGGTCATTTGTAAAACTCTTCATTTATGGAACTGGACATTTAACAAACTGTCCATTTTGTAAACTGCCATTGAGCAAGTTGTTCTAGAGCAGCCTGGACTGAGAACAATCAATAACATGGTACGTTCCAACATGTTCATCTCTGCCTCACCTGCTTTCAGTGCTTGAGTTTCCAGTGGAAGAGAGTCGAACGTTTGCGATCCAGTGCACAGGAGTTTCTCAACTCTCTCAGCGGTAATATCAAGGGGGCTAGGAAGTTTCTGACACACCATAGCTGAAGTCTGTTGTTAAGGACCCAGAAGTGTGAGCCACTGCCACAGCTCAGATTATGTATGCACTCACTATCAAAATAACAATGTATGTCCATACAGAAAATGCCTGGGTTATAAGGCAACACTGATTTATGAATCACATTTTAAAGTATGGTTTCAAGGAGCTCATGAACTTTTTAAAACTCAGACAGGAGTCTCACATCAAATATTCCCTCCAATGGAATAAAGGATAATAGAGGCTGATAGATGGGCTAACCTTGACCTTGAAATGAAACAGTAATCTAACATCCACATTATCTATTTATATTTAATCTTAGTGCAAATAATTTTATTTTTACATGCTTACTAAAAATCATTTTAAAAAGGAATACTCAGTATTAACCTTAAACAGCATTAGTATGTTAATTTTTAAACTATTAATTACAGTTTCACAATAGACTACTAGATTAGCAAAGACTTGACATTGGATTAAAATGTGTTATTTCCAGAGAATTACCTGATTGCAAATAAAAGTTTTCTTTTTCTTGTTTTATCAAAACTATTTCATTAAAAACCATTAAAATAAAGGATACAAAGAACAGCATGGGAGATAGGTAGCCACTGACTGCAAATGGCATTGATCTGAACTTTAGGATCTGAATGGCGTGCCTCCCGGACTCCAATTTTTAATCCTAAAGAAGTCACTATTTTATCAATTTTTTCTTTGTCCCTATAATAAGCATAAGATGGGGAACATATATAGATAGTGATGAGTAGTGGGTAAATGAATTTGACATTATTTGATACATTTTTTTTCTCATACCACATAACTTTTTCAATAAAAGCTAAAAATGATTGAGGGGATCCTACTTTCAAACTTTCAAATGTACTTTAAAACTTCTCATGAAGCACCATTCTCCAATGTTCTACAACAAACTTTGCTAGTTGATAAAACAGTTTTACTAACCCCAGAATAACCTAGAAGATAATCAACAAAAGCCAGCTTTTCCCTCGACTTGTACCAGGCAAGTTACTTCCCAAATTCCCCACTGATGATCCTACATATCAAGTATCTTTTGTACTACAATTACTGTTTTTAAAATCTGTGTTTATGAAAACAAAGGATCAAGGTGGGGAGGGGGGATGGTGGAGGATGGGAAAGGCAGCGGAGCACAACAGACACTAGTATGGCAATATGTAAATCAATGGATGTGTAACTGATGTGATTCTGCAATCTGTGTATGGGGTGAAGGTGCGAGTTCATAACACACTTGAATCAAAGTGTGGAATATGATACGTCAAGAAATTCGTAATGTTTTGAACAACCAACAATAAAAAATTAAAAAAAAAATAAAATAAACATTAAAAAAAAAGAAAAGAAAAAAAAAAGGATCAATGCTTATTTCCATCCTTTTATCGCTTCACCTCAGTACTCTATAAAATATTACTGTTCTGCCTTTCCTCCATTATCTTTTACTTTAGCTACATGTGCTCCTTTAATTGTTTCTGAGCTCTGTAATCAACTTGTCTGTAAAGGCTCTGTTCTTCATCTATCTCAGATTTCCAAAGTGTGACTCATTAAACTGGAAAGTGAGGCAAAATACACTGCGCAAAGATAAACAATTTTACAACAGTCTTACTTTTTCAAGACAGCATCATACAAACTCCATATATTTTCCAGGATCAACTGTACAAATAAAGGTTTCTTTCCTTTTGCCTGTACAAAAGAATATACTGACTTAAGTTCCTGAACATTCACTATACATTTACATATTTGTTTGCAACATGTTTTAATATCAATGTCTCATTTCTACTAAAAAATATTTTTTTAACATTAAAGATGAAAGCAGTTATAAGAATAACCTAAAGAGTCAATAATACACGATAATAATACACCATTCCCTTTCTCCAGGAATCAGGGACTTTGAAAACAATGTAGTCATTTAGAGATTTATCACTGTTGCTGCTCCACCATTTCCATCAAAGAAACACACAACATTCAGCCTGAGAGCTAAAACTTCACTCTGCATGATCAGGGTCTTTCTAGGGACTCTGATCTGAAGTGTTCTGAAAAACATATGAACTGTTCTTAAACATACAAAAAAACTTCACAAGGACAGAAAAGTTTTTTAAAACCCTCTAAACCTACTATTTCTCTTACCAAACTACACAAAAAGTGAATAGCCCCAGAGTACCTTGAGGCAAATACTCTTACATATATATGACATGGAAATGAGACCTCCTTTTCCAAGAGTAACTGGCAATAGTATTAGTCATTGCCTTTCTAAATACTTAGTTTTGATAAGTTATCATGAAGACCTAAACATTTATGCACACACACAAAAAAATCTATTATAGCTTTACTTACAATATGAACACATTTGGGGAAAAAAACCTGTCCAATCTTAGGAGAGTGATTACATAAATAATGATGATCTCAAAAAATAAAATAATAATAGTGTGCTTATTATGCAAAAAGAACCATTCTAAAGAGTTTATTTGGATTACTTTATATAATCATCCTAACTACCTTCTGAAATAAATGCTATTATCTTAATTTTACAGAAGAAAAAACTCAAGAAAAAGTCAAAGAGCCAATAAGTGAGGGAGCCAATATTCAAACACTGACTTGTCTCTCAAGCCATGTTCTTCCCATGTAACTATACTCACTCCCTTTTAAATACACTGTTAGGAAAAGCTTTCAATGGCAAAAGAAGATGTTAATGATGTGACATTAAGAAAAAAGGCAGCTATGTTATATAAACAGTATAATCTCAAACAAGGGCTGTATATATGTCTATCAAAAAAGTGAAAGAAATTAAAACTATGTCATAAGCATTGTTGGCCTTTGACTTTTTCTTTTCTATGGCTTTATATTTCTGAACACTTTTTAAGAGGAATGTATTTGATTTTCAATGAGAAAAAAAAATATGTGATATTCTGAACTTCACATTAAAATACAAAGCTTCGAGAAAAATACCCATTGAGGCTATATGCCCATAACAGTGCTAAATTACCTCTATTTATAGTGGTGTGGTTTACAGGAACACCTGTCTTTCACCATCTGTACTACATGGTAGCCTCTGCTATGACTGGAAATACAATGTGGATCACACAGTGATGTCTAAAAGAGACATCTCTGAAGATACACAAATACATAATGGAAACTATGTGTTTTTAAGGGCTCAGGATCTGATATTTTTAATAGGCTTTTTCAAAAGAGTAGTTTTTTGCTATCTATTTATTAATTTAGGGAAAACAGAAAGGATTTGCTAGCCCAGGCTGGTCTTGAACTTCTTGGGCTCAAGCAATCCTCTTGTCTTAGCCTCCCAATTAGCTGGAAATACTAGCATGCATCACTAGGTCCAGCTTGCTCACTCACCTCACTATATACTAAGGACTAAGAACTCTATATAAAGTAATACTAGGATATAAGACTCATAAACCCTTCCAAATTACGTAGAGTAAAAAGTCCCTCATGAACTCGTCTGCAAAAATTAAAGCTAAATTATATCTACTAAAGATGTTATAGTACCAGTTTTCTATAACCAACATTCCAAAGGGACAGTATTACCTGATCAACCTTCATTATTTTCTTAGCCTTCATATTTATATAATAATCTCCCCACAAGGTTTTCAAAAGAACTTCCTTTTTGATGCCAATTTTTTTGCTATAGATTTTGGCAAAATGCTCAATTCTGAAAGAAAACCAAGAATTATGTTATTAATAACAAATAAGTAACATTGATACAGCTAACATGAGTGTTTCTGTGTCTTTATGTGAATTATTAAATCATTTCAACCTTCCTACAAATTTCTCCCATTTTACAGAAAAGGATAATGATGCACGAAGATATCACACAGGTAATGAGTGAACTTGGGATTCAAACCCAAGCAGTCTGACTCCAAAGCCTATGTTCTGTCCAGCACTAGCTACATTAATATAGAGTTAAAATTCATGCTATAGTGTCCTTTCTTAATTTTTCACTGGTAAAATGAGAAAAAAGGAACAAAGGCCAAGGAAATGTAGACTTCAACTGTTCATCACAACTATGTCAACAACAGAAATGTACTTCCAGTCTCCATAGCTATAAATGATGGCTGCTCACAAAGGAAATAAACTCTAGAGATGGAACCTGCCAAAACAAGTTTGTTGGCACCCTGAATTAAATGATAAACATATGTACACTTACTTCACTCTTATCATCCCTTAGAGAAACCACCTAGCACCACAGACTCCATCCTTGGGACAGCAATCAACAAATAAGGGTGATCTTGTATAGTACTTCGCTGTTTGGATAAAGTACCTAGGAAATATCTATTTTTCAAAAAACAGTATATTTAATCTAAGGTTTGAGTCTAGAACTCTCAAAGTACCAGCTTCTTAAAAACTGCCTACTCAGAAACAAGGCAAGAATACCCTCCCTCACCCCTTCTTTTTACCACTATACTCTAGGCCCAAGCTAACGCAATAAGAAAATACTAATCTATAAGGTGAACAGAGAGCGAACGTACATCCTGGGAGCAAATTTTTAACTCTCACACATCAGATAGAGCACTAATCTCTAGGATATATAAAGAACTCAAAAAGCTAAGCACTAAAAAACAAATAACCCAATCAACAAATGGACCTGAACAGACACTTCTCAGAAGAGGATATACAATCAATCAACAAATATTCGAAAAAATGCTCATCATCTCTAGCAATTAGAGAAATGCTAATCAAAACTACTCTAAGATACCATCTCACTCCAGTCAGAATGGCAGCTATTATGAAGACAAACAACAATAAGTGTTGGCCAGGATGTGAGGAAAAACATATACTCATACATTGCTGGTAGGACTGCAAATTGGTGCAGCCAATATGGAAAGCAGTATGGAGATTCCTTGGAAATCTGGAATGGAACCACCATTTGACCCAGCTATCCCTCTCCTCGGACTATACCCAAAGGACTTAAAAACAGCATACTACAGGGACACAGCCACATCAATGTTTATAGCAGCACAATTTACAATAGCTAAACTGTGGAGCCAACCTAAATGCCCTTCCGTGAATGAATGGATATAAAAAATGTGGCATATATACACAATAGAATTTTACCCAGCAATAAAAGAGAATAAAATCATGGCATTTGCAGGTAAATGGATGGCGTTGGAGAAGATAATGCTAAGTGAAGTTAGCCAATTCCCCCCAAAAATGCCAAATGTTTTCTCTGATATAAGGAGGCTGACTCATAGTGGGGTAGGGAAGGGGAGCATGGGAGGAATAGATGAAGTCTTAACAAGGATGGTGGAATGTGAAAGACATCATTATCCAAAGTACATGTATAAAGACATGAACTGGGTGTCAAAATACTTTAAATACAAACAGAGATATGAAAATTTGTGGTATATATATGTAATAAGAATTGTAATGCATTCCACTGCCATTTATTTATTTATTTATTTATTTAAACCAATTTAAAAAAAGGAGCCAACAACTCAAAAAGAAAGAAAATACTAATTATGAGGAAGGGAATAAAACTATCTTTATTTGCAGATGACATGATCATCTATGTAGAAAACCAAAAGAATCAATAAAACTTCAGTTCTAACTAATAAGCAATTATAGCAAGGTTGTACACAAGGTTAATATAAAAAGTCAATCACTTTCCTATTTACCAGCAATGAATAAATATAATTTGAAATTAAAAACATAATACCTTTTACATGAAATCCCCAAAATAAAATATTAAGGTCTAAACATAACAAAATATATATTTAAGATCTATATGAGAAAAATTACAAAACTCTAATGAAAGAAATCAAAGAACTAAATAAGTAGAGAAATTCCATGTTCATGGATAGAAAAGCTTCAATATTTTAAAATGTCAGTTCCCAAAGCAACCTTTACATCCAATGCAATCCCATTCAACAAGTTATTTTGTAAATAACAAACTGATTTTAAAGGATATATGGGAGGCAAAAGATCCAGAATGACCAATGTGACATTGAAGGGGAAGAGTAAAATTGGAGAGACTAACAATACCAAACTTCAAGACTTACTATAAAGCTAAAGTAATCTAGACAGTGTGGTATTGTGAAAAAGAAGAGACGAATAGATCAATGGAACAAAACTGCTCAAAAAACAGACCCACATAAATAGAGTCAACTGATCTTTGAAATGGGCAAAGACAATGTAATGAAGAAAAGAGGGTCTCCAACAAATGATGCTGAAACAACTGAACAGCAATTTGCAAAAAAAAAAAAAGGAGGGAGGGGGTTAGATACAGGCTATACACTCTTCACAAAATTAATTCAAGACTTAGAAAAATTAAGCTCATAGACTTAGGTTAAAAAAAAAAAAACATAAAACTGTAAAACTCCTGGAAGATGACAGAGAAAAATTTAGATGATTTTGGAGAACACTATAGGCATAAGCCATGAAAGGAAGAACTGATAACATATACTTCATTGAAATTTAAAACTTCTTTTCTATGAAAGGCACTGTTAAGAGATGAGAAGACAAGTCACAGAGTGTGAGAAAATATTTGCAGAACACAGACCTAATAAAGGACTAGTATTCAAAAGAAGCAAAGAGTCTTAACACTTAACAATAAGAAAACATAAAACTTGATTAAAAATAGGTCAAAGATTTTAACAGACACCTAATCAAAGAAAGATGGCGAATATGCACACACCATCAGGGAAATGCCAGTCAAAAAAATAATGAGCTATACTACACACTTATGAGAATAGCCAGGCACCAAAACAATGATAACACCAAATACTAGCAAAGACGTGGAACAAGAATAATGCCATTTATTGATGGTGGGGATGCAACAGGTATCACCATTTTGAAAGACAGTTTGGAAGTTTCTTATAAATTTTTTTTTTTTTAATCTTCTTTGGCCTATGATGCAGCAACCATGATCAATGTTACTTACTCAGTGACATAGCTGAAAACTTAAATCTACAAAAAACTTGCTTGTAGATGTACATAGCAGTTCAATTCCTATGCAGACAATGGGGTACTCTTCGGCATTAAGAAGAAATGAGCCATGAAATGATATTGAGGAAATTTAAATGCATGTAACTAAGTGAAAGAAGCCAATCTGAAAGGCTACATGCTGTTGATCCCAAATATGTGGCATTTTGGAAAAGTTAAAACTACAGAAAGAGTAAAAAGAACAGTGGATGCCAGGAGCTGGGGGGAGGGAGGGACAAATAGGTGGGACATGGAACAGTTAGAAAAGTGAAACTATTCTATATGATACTATAGTGGTGGATACACATCATTATACACTTGTTCAAACCCACAAAATGTACACCACCAAGACTGAACAAAGCTTAATGATATCTTTTGGTGAAAATAATGTATTAATGTAGGTTAAACTTTTGCAACAAACATACTACAATGGTGAAGGATAATGATAGCGAACTTATATATGTGGGGGCAAGAGTGTTTGGGAAATCTCTGATCTTTCTCTCACTTTATATTGTGAACCAAAAACTGTTATAAAACACACTTAAAAAGAAAGGAAAAAAGAAAAAGGATATCTACTATGCTCTTCACTGCAGAAGAAATCCAATGTTAGCACAGTGTAGACAATTCTTTACAGTTCAGACAGGAAGTGTGGTATTGGTGAAACCCAAGAGTTGATGCCAATCAAAACAATAATGAGCTATACTACACACCTATGAGAATAGCCAGGCACCAAAACAATGATAACAACTGAGTTAAATCCCATTATTGATATGCTTAAGAAGCTACAGAAGTAGAAGCCAATAATTATCATAGGAATCAGAAATGTTAGAGCCAGTAGATAGAACTTAGAAGCAAAAGCAGATACCATAGAAACTGCTGAAAATAAATATCTAAAACCCTTCTCACTGGGCTAAGGGAGAGAAAAACATCTAATCAGAAATCAAAATCCAAATTATACCGTTACAGGCTGCTGACATTCTGAACTGGTCTCAAGGGTCCATTACTTTCTAAGTAATTTACTATCATAAACTTCATTTCCTATTTGATCCAACAGTTATTTATTTAGCAAAGGTTTTTATTTATTTTTATTTGTGTGTGTGTGTGTGTGTGTGTTTTAATCCAAAATTTTAGTTCATAAATTCTGTTATTAATTTAACATGCTTTTGCCTTTGGGGAAAAGAAATCTTTCTTCTCTCTATAAATTCTCATCTCACTCCAAATACTTGGGAGATTTCTGCAGTAAGGGACTTCCCCATCAAGGAATGCTGAAAGGAGCATTCCTGGTTTCCTCAGTTGCTCCTCCCCAAGCAAAGGTGAAAGGTTGACATTCCGGGGTAGAGTTCCTATGCTTCAAAAAGGAAACTGGCTCTTTCTTAGTGCCTACTCCATGAATCAGGAAGAGTCAGGTTTTCTTCCTAGTTCCCCTTGGTTCCACATACCTACAGCAGGCCACAGACCCTTGCTTCCTGATTCAGTTCAGGAGAACTCATCTCTTGAGTTTTTCATTTGTCCACACTGGATTTTGACAGGCAGTCTGCAATCCTTCATGGAGAGCTGCAGTTCCAATCCAGAAGCTGAACTGGATCTGCAGATCTCTATGGAAGGAGACAACAGTACACTGCCACTGTGGTCTGAGTTCCCAAACACAGTTTCCAATCTAATTTTTTTAGGGACCCCTGTTCTTAAGGAGGGAAGCCTGTTAGGGCTATGATGCGTAAAACTGAAACTATG